GAAAGATTTTGGCCTCAGGAATTTGGGGGTTGGACTGGCCTGGGAGCAGGGCCCAGGAAAGATGCTGGTCTAGGGCAGCTGATGGCCGTGCCACCCAGAGATGCAAAGGGATATGGGGGCAGGAAGAGGCCCCAAGGGCTCCTGGGGACTGCACTGAGGAGCTGGGTTGGTCTGGATGCAAAGGATCAGAAAGAGGAAAGGTCATCCTCAGAGTCCAGGAAAGAGGCTGGGGGTTGTGCAGCCCAAGGAAGCAGAGGGAGGTGAGGGTGGGACCAGTCCCTGAGGGCTCCTGGGAGAGAGCCTGGTGGGTTGTGCATCCCAGGGAAGCAGAGGGAGGTGAGGGCGGGGCCAAGTCCAGAGGGCTCTTGGGATCCCCAGAAAGAACTGGGTTGGTTTGGATGCAAAGAATCAGGAAGTAGTGGAGGTTCCCCTGGTGTCTGGGGCGCCAAGACAAGGAATGGGACAGGTCCCAGGCTAGGCAGGGGAGATGGGAGGGTGAATGAGGCTGGGGGAGTCAAGGCGCAGAGGGCGTGATCCACTTACCCTGGGGAGAGGCCAGATGGTCTGAGAGAGGCCTGAGGGTTGTTGAGCTGCAAGTACTTTTAACTGCTGAGCCCGTTTTGTGTTTTGTTGAGACTGAGTCTCATGTAGCCCTGGCTGGCCTTAAACTCACTTTGTAGCTGAGGATGACCCTGAACTCCTGATCCTCTTGCCTCACCCTCTTTGAATGCTGGAAATTAAAGGGGTACACACCTATCATGCCTAACTTTGGAAACTTGAATATTGATTCCTCCCACACTTAGCTTTTGGAGAACGTTCTAGAAGTTCCCCCTTCTGTACAGGCCCTGGGCTGTATACTTGTTTGATATCTCTTTATTTATTTTGATTATTATTGATTTTTAGATAGGGTCTAAACTTCCTAGACTGGCCTGGAACTTGAGGTAATCCTTCTACCTCAGCCTCTTGAGTGCTAGGATTACAAGGAGTGCCTCACCATCCCCAGCTCTTATCTTTTTAAAAAGTACATTTATCGCTGGGCGTGGTGGCGCATGCCTTTAATCCCAGCACTCAGGAGGTAGAGGCAGGTGGATCTCTGTGAGTTCAAGGCCGGCCTGGTCTACATAGTGAGTTCTAGGACTGCTGGGGCTACAAGGAGACCCTGTCTCAAAAAAGACACAAAAAAGTACATTTATTTATTTATATTGATTTAGTGTGTGTGTGTGTGTGTGTGTGTGTGTATGTTGCCCGCATGTATGCCATAGCATGCATGTGGTGGTCAGAGGACAACTTGGAGTCAGTTCTTTTCTTCTACCATGTGGGTTCCAGGGACTGAACTCAGATCGTCAGGCTTGGCAGCAAGTACCTTTTACCCTCTGAGCCATCTCACTGGACAGCCCCGCCCCCAGCTCTTATCTTTTTAAATAGATATTTCCATTTAACAGGTGGGGAAACTGAGATTCACAGTATTGTAATGACTACCGCAAGGTGGTGGCTGGTGGAACTGGGATTCTAATAGCACAGGTTTACAGATTCTGGTGCAAATAACCCAGGAAGGCATGGACTTTGGAGTGAGAGGCTCTGCCACATTTAAAAAATTAAACCTTTTTACCCTCATTAGGATTTCGGGGAGTGGGGTGGCAGGGGTGTGTGGGGGGGTGTCAGGGTGGTGTTGAGACCCAGACACAGTGCTCTATCTATCTGCAGAGCATCAGGGCTGAATCTGAAGCCAGAGTCCTGACTACAAGCCACTTTCTTAGGAGGTTGACCCTTCTTCCTGCCAACCTCAGGCTTAACCAGCCTCTCAGAGGGCAGAGACCCAGCTCCATCCCCACAGGCTTCTGAAGACTCCTTTGTCCCCTGCTGGTCACTAGACCCTTGCTCAGCTGAAGTTAGGGCTGCGGTGGGCTCCAGAGCCACAGCATGGGAAAGCCCCCTGCTGGTCCTGGCCAACACTCACCCCCCTGGGAGCCTTGGGACACCACTTCTGTTTCTACTGAGCTTTGTACATTTTTTTGTCCCATCACCCACCAACTCTGACCCATATTGTCTATGGCTCCCCAGGGTCCCCTGCTCACCATGTTTCAGGTTGTCCTTCCACTCACCCACATAGTGGTCTCCGTTCACAGCATACACTTGGTGCCTCAGGCCATTCTTCTGGGCTTTCCAATCCCACCACTTCCACAGGGGCTCTGACTTTCTCGGACACTTGGTGACTGGCATGTTGGCTGCTTCTGAGGGCTTGGAGGGTGCTGGCAAGAGGTAAGGACATCAGGGGCTCAGTGTGTCCTGTATAACCCTGGGATCCTGGGACTTCCAGGGGAGGCACCTGCCTGAGTTCCACTGGGGGCAAGTCATGTATGTTCTGAGGCCCCAGGGCAGGTGAGCAGCCCTCAGTGGGGATCTGTTGGTGCTGGGCTGACCCTGGACTGTCCCCTCCCTTGCCTTCTGTGGGACATGTGATAGCATAATCTCTTGGGAACCCAGGGAAACCAGCAGTAACTCAGGGTTTGTGATGACATCAGGGAGACACTGCCCCTGGGAGGGATGATGGTCATGTACTTAGTGATTAGAAGGACCGGGGTTCTGGTAGACAAGGAACACATTTTTCTCCTTGTGGGAAAGTGGGTAGGGCAGGTGGTGGCAAGTGCTGCTTCCTACTCCATAGGAGTTGGGGTGTCAGGCAGAAGGCTTGCTTCTGCACAAACTGCATGAATATCCCTGGCCCAGTACCTGGACTGCCATCCCCTCGGCCTTACCTCATCTGTCTAGTGGATGGAATGAACTCAGGTATTATCTTTCAGCTGAGGAGATCCTGGCAATTAAAGAGATGGCCTCCAAGGTGACCAACTGTCCCAGACACAGGTTTCCTGGGACCTCAGCTTTTCAGTGCTAAAACTCAGACAGTCCTCAGCATATTGATCATCCTTCCACATCTTACCCCTGACCTCTGCCTCCTAGTGCTCCTAGTCAGCTTTCTTATAGCTGCAGAGAAACATGGAGCAGGGAGCAGGGCCTCTTCCAAGTATCTGGGAGCCCCATCTGTATTCTTTATACCCCCAGAATCTCCAGTGCAGATATTTATGTCCTTTTGTCCATGGGGTGATAAAAATAGTCTTGTCCAAATCCTGGGGAACCCTGTCCTCCCTCAACAAATACTATATATTCCATGGATTCTAGGGCTACACAAACCCACTCCCATTAAATCTTTCCTCATCAGCACACACAGGTACTGCCAATCCAAATGACCTCAGGGTGAAGCTAGCTCTAGGAGATCATGATATCCCAGCCTCATGCACAAGTGCCACAAACTGGACAATGGGCCACCTGTGTGGCTGCACAGCTCCTGCCCCCCAGAGGGATCACTCTTTGAACTCTTTTGTTGTTGTTCTTTGCTTATTTTTTTATGGGGGGGGCTCTTGCTTTGTAGCTCTGGCTGGCCTGGAACTCCATACATAGACCAGGCTGGCCTCAAATGTGCATCCCCTCTTCTGTGTCATCTGCCTTCTAAATGCTGGGACCACAGCACATACTACCATACCCAGACACACAGATTCTTTCTCTCGATCCCTCCCTCCCTTCCTCTCTCCTCCCCTTCCTTCCTTCCTCCCTCCCTTCTGTCTCTCTGACTGGGTTTCATGCACCACAGGTTGGATTCAAACTTACTACATAGCTGAGGATGACTTTGAACTTCATTATTTACTTATTTTTGAGCCAGGATCTCATGTAAGTGAGGTTGGTCTCGAACTTGCTAAGTAGCCAAGGATGACCTTTGTGATCCTTCTATCTCTATCTCCCAAGGGATTAACAGACATGAGCTACCATGCTTGGTTTATGGAGAGCTGGGGATCAAACACAGGGCGTCATGCATGCTAAGCAAGAATTCTACCAACTGGGCTACATCCTCAGGCCCTGCTTTAAATTTCTGATCTTCTGCCTTTATCTCCCTAGTGAGGATTATAGGCATATGCCACCACATCTGGCTCTTGAAAAATTTTTTTTTACACATTTTGTGTGCGTGGGTGGATGTGGGTGTGAGTGTGCCATGGCATGTATGGAGGTCAGAGGATAACCTTTAGGAGTTGGTTCTCTTCTTCAACCATGTGTGTCCCAGGGATTGAACTCAGGTTATGAGGCCTGGTAGTGAGTGACTTTAGCTAATGAGCTATTCTTATCACCCCTACCCAACACTTTTTCATTTGAGAGAGGGTCTCATGTATTCCAGGCTGGCCTCAAATTATGTAGCTAAGTATGACTTTGAACTCTGATCCTTATGTTTCCACCTCCTAAGTGCTGGGATTACAGTCTATGCTAACATATGCTCCATTTATAGCATGCTGGATATCAAAATCAGAGGTGTGTGTGTGTGTGTGTGTGTGTGTGTGTGTGTGTGTGTTAGTGTGCAAGCACCCTAGCAACTGAACTACTGGGCAAGGGCCCTACATCTTGTACTGGACCCATTGTCAGTTATGCACACACCTTTCAACGGCTGCATTGTGTGGAAATCTGGATTCCTGGATTCTCAGATGGGCAGAAGGTGTCTGGGGAGCTGGGCCAGTGGAATGGAAGGATTTTGTTCCTACCAGAATACTGGTGTTGCCAATCTGCATTCCAATTTTCTTATGTTCCTTAAAACCAACCTCAGTAGCACTGTCTTGGGGCATGCCATGGCTCTGCTCTCCATTCTCTGCAGGGATGACACAGACCACACCCACTGCCTACACACAGATTAGGTCCTCAGCCAAGAGGAACCAAGGGATGCTGTGAATGGTAATACAACCTGTAATCTCAACACTTGGAAAGTTGAAGCAGAAGAATCACAATGAGTTTTAAGGTCAGCCTGAACTACAGAGTGAGACCCTGTCTCAAAAAGACAAAAAAAAAAAAAAAAAAAAAAAAAAAAAAAAAAAAAGGCAAAAAACAAAGGCATTGAACAAGTACCAAAGAGGCGCTCATTCTCATTTTTACTTCCCTGTTCTTTCCTCCCTCTGCATTTCAACTCCTCTGGCTCTATACATCTTCACCTAGCTGGAGTGGGACCAGCATTCCTCTTTGTTCTGGATTGGAAAACAGTCTTCTTCATAAACCCTGGCTGCAGCAGGGACCTCTAGGAGTGTGACTGGGTACTGGGCCTAGACTGTACTAGTTGCTACAGATTCTGAGCAAAATCTATAACTGGGGACCAGATGTAATACTCGTTTGTTTTTTTTTTGTTTGTTTGTTTTGGTCTTTTTGATACAGGATCTCCCTGTAGCCCCAGATGGCCTGGAATTCACTATGTAGACCAGGCTGGCCTTGAATGCAGAGATCCACCTGCCTCTGCCTCGAAAGTGCTGGAACTAAAGGCATGCACCACCACCCCCGGCTTCAGATGTAATATTCTTATATGTCATGTTCTTTCCCACTTCTAAGTATTTCCTGCATAGTTTTTTTTTTTTTAGTATTGATTTTTATGTTGTAATCAACTCACTTTTAGAGTTTGTCACATTCGCCAGGGGTGGTGGCTCATACCTGTAATCCCAGCAATAGGAGGACTGCTGTAAATCTGAAGCTGATCTGAGCTACATGGTGAGTTCACACCAGCCTGAGCTACATAAAAGGATTCTCTCTCTCTCTCTCAAAAAAAAAAAAAAGGATATATTTACTTGAAAAGTAGACTTTATAGATTACCCAAAGACTTTGTTTGTTTGAGGCAAAGTCTCCCTGCAGCCCCAGCTGGCCTGGAACTCAGACCAGGCTGCCCTGGAACTCACAGAGAGCCACCTCCTCTGCCTCCTGAGTGCTGGGATTAAAGGCCTGCACCACCATGCCCAGCTTGTTTTGGTTTTTTTTTGAGACAGGGACTCATTATGTAGCCCTGGCTGGCCTGAAACTTGCTATGTAGATCAGGCTGGGCTCAAACTCACAATAGTTCACCTGCCTCTGCCTCCAGAGGGCTGGGATCAAAGGCATGAGCCACCACACCCAGTTCAGGCTGTCATTTTTGATGAGTTTTTCTTACTCAACTTTGTTTTCTGTTTTGGTTCCTAATTAATATGTGAGTTGTAGAACAAACAAGGAGAAATCAAGCTGGTACTGAATAGCTTTCATAGTGCTGGAAGGTACTATACATGCTAACAGAAAAGAAAAGTAATCATCAACCTTGCCCAGCTGTGAATCCTGTGAGCTATAACTGGCCTGGTATGACAGGCCCACAGGTGCAACAATGGCACAAATGTTATGGGAGTAACTAACCACCTACTGATTTATTGTTATAGATTAATGCGTCTCTCAATTCTCACCAGAGAAGCGTCCTCATACAGTCAGTAGATGTTGATTAACACAGAGACCCACAACTGGCCAGTGTGCAGAGACTAAGAAACAGCAGAGTGCTTATATAACAACAATTGATAGAGAAAACATTGCAAGCATGCCCAGGTTGTTTTGAATCTGAAGAACAAAGAGGACCATGGTAGACGTTGGGGGAGCAGGCCGGATAGCCTGGGATCATCTGCAAGCTCCAGCCCACCTCCTGCCCACCTACCTGCATTCGCTGGCTCACCAGTGGCCACAGCCTTCAGGCAGCAGCTGCCGGTCGCGAGCGGTCCTGCCCAGCCAGGTCGCTATAGCAACGAGCAGTTGTGACAAAGCAAAAGGGAAGCGCCTGCCCCTTCCTGCTGAGACCGGGTATCAGGGAAATTGTAAAGGCACGCCAACTTTGCATTAGTTCGTAGTCTTGTAGGACTGCTTCGAGCCCCCTTCGGGGAGGGGGCCGGGGGTGGGGGCAGCTGGTGCATTGCATACATATTAAATATGCTAGTCCTTTCTCTACTCACAAAACTCACAAAGTCTGTTAAAGCCTTCAAGCCCCCAGTGACTGCCTAGCCCCTCTTTCCTCTCTGCCCTGTGCCCCTATTGCTTCCGTCTAGGCTCTGCCCCTGCACACATTTGTTTCCTTGATGTTCCTGCAAAGTGCTATGCCATTTTCCTGCCTCAAGCCTTGAGTTTTCTGGGACAGCTGCAGGCCATCGCTTCCTCCACTTGAGAGAGTGGATCGTTCCTTTCTTTCCTTCAGAGCTTTGTTCAAATATTAGCCCTCCTGGAAGCGGTCTCAGAACCACCCAATTTAAAATTGGAATCTCCCCGAGTTCTAGGTGACCTTTTTTTTCATTCCCATTTTTATTTTTGGTTTAAAAAAACATATAGGCCGAGCATGGTGGCACACGCCTTTAATCCCAGCACTCGGGAGGCAGAGGCAGGCAGATCTCTGTGAGTTCAAAGCCAGCCTGGTCTACATAGTGAGTTCCAGGACAGCTGGGGCTACAGGGAGACCTGTCTCAAAAAGACCCAAAAAAAAAAAAAAAAAAACCAGCAACAAAAAAAAAAACCATATAAAAGGAAAAAGGAGGGGAGGCTGGAGAGATGGCTCAGTGCTCCTAACAGAAGACCCAGTGTGATTCCCAGCACCCACGTGGCCCCTACCAACCATCTGTAACTCCAGTTCCCGAGGATGGGTTGCCCTCTTCTGACTGCAGACATTGCATGACAGGGGTGCATTTACATACACGGAGGCAATACACTCATACACATAAAATAAAAATAATAAATAAAATATTTAAAATAAAAAGGGGGCCAATGAGATGGTTATTGTGTAAATGAACTTTTCACCAAGCCTGACGTTCTGAGTTAGATTCCTGAAACCTACATGGGGAAAGAGAATCAACTCTTGTAAGTTGTCCTCTGACCTCCACAGTGCACTGTGGACATGTGCACCCCCTACACACATAAATTAAAAAATGAGAATAGGGCTACAGAGATGGCTCCGTGGTTAAGAGCAACAGCTGCTCTTGCAGAGGACATAGGTTCAGTTCCCAGCACCACACGGGGGCTCAAAACTGTCCTCAACTCCAGTTCCAAGGGATCTGACTACTTCTGGCCTCTGTAGGCAACATGGATGCACTTACATACGTGCAGGCAAAATACTCAAACACATTAAAATTGAAAATCTAAAGACTAAAGGAACAAAAATTCAAGTACACAGGAACACAAAGCTGTAATGGACACCAGCCTCTTCTGCCTATGTTCAACCTGTGCTGCCATTTTACCTTATCTGCCACTCTGTTTCTATGGCCCTCAGAAGAGTGGCAGGCACACAGTTGCTCAATAGTTATTTGTCAAATGAATATAAATGATGTGCATTCAGGGGCTTCTACTCTGAGAATCATGGTTCTCACGTTAAGGACTCTTGCTAGAGAGAAGCCAGAATCTCTGGGGCACAGTTATGAGACTAGCATCCTGCCCAGGAATATATGGAGCTTGTCTCATCTGCTTGACAAACAGGCAAGCTGGACTTAAGGGGCTGTGTCATTTCCCCCTGGAGGATCTGCTTTTTCTTCAACAAAGGTGCAATATAGTTCAGAGACAGCCCCACAGGAATGGTGTTTTTTGGAGGTGGAGGTCTCCCTGCTGTACAGAAGCATCTTTCTTGTCTCAAGTCATGTTATTTTTGAGCTACTTCAGGTTGTGTCCATCTAGCACAGCTCTATCTCAGAGCAGGCACTTAGGAAATCTATTAAGTAGGAAAGGTACTGGGCATGGTGGCACATGCCTTTAATCTTAGCACTCAGGAAGTAGAGGTGAGTAGATCTCTGTGAGTTCAAGGTTAGCCTGGTCTACATAGTGAGTTTCAGGCCAGCCAGGGCTACATAGTACGATTCTGTCTAAATAAATAAATAAATAAATAAATAAATAAATGATGGCTCTGGATCCTCAGCCTCTTTATCCTCATACCCATTTTTGCTTTCCCTACTCTGAGTTCAGCAATGGGGCTGCTTCCCACCAACTGTGGTTCTCAGGCCTTTGATCAGTGACTACCAGTAATGCTGAGCCTTTGAGAAGTCCAGACCAGAGGGAGAGAGAAGCCGGGATATTTCTAGTCCTGTCCCCTAACACAACCCCTGCCACCTTAGGTGGGGTCTCTGGCAGAAAATATACCTCATTGTGTTTCCTGCTGCATCAATCTGGTCCCTGGGTTCTGTCACCACCTCCCAGCTCTGTTCTTTCTGCTCCAGTATGGTGATGACTTCACGCGGGGTTCATCTTCTGGTAATCTTTCAGGGTACCCATCACCTTTGTAACCAGTTCATATATATATATA